TAAGAGGGAATGAGCTGGCGGACAGATACGCTAAAAAGGGCGCACGGAGTCGGGTTCTGGATGCCCTGTTAAAATAAGCAAGGCAGAGGTGCAATAATTAACCTTTTTTATTAAGTATTTAATACATGTCGGCATCAATCGATTACCCGGAAGTGAAACAAGTTTGTTTACTCCAGCCCTATTTGCACGGGATTAGTAGAGTCGCATCTGACCACAGCAGCCACAGAGACCATGAGGACAAACCGCTCTACAGTTCTCTGGCCCGTACTTTCTGTAATGTTTAAACAATACTGTTTGTATGGACTACCCGTGAATGCACCACATACTCTGCTAACAAACGTGCGAGTTTCAAATAGTAACGCTGAATCAACATGTCTGTACTGTTTGATGACAGAGTGCAGAGTAACGATCGAACGCCACCCATCGGTCTGATCATGTTGTGTCCGTGAATACATTACACTGTCCTCTACACTTCTCCATAGACCTCACAGCAGCCGCGAATCTGCAGCTTTGCATACAGCCGCGACTCTGCTCTCTGCTCCCCAACAAAAACATTGCAGAAAGTAAAGAGAAAGCGGCAATAGCGATCACAATCACTGACATGCAGATTCACATGGGATTAGTATTGTAACAGTCTGTGTAAGAATATACACATATCCATACACTTCCTATCACAACAACACTTTTTTATTGGCCATTGTATTTATCATTTTATGACTTTATGGAGTGGATCAGGAGAAGGTGGTTATCAAAGTCCACAGAAGTCACACAAGGGACAACACTTCGCATTATGGCAACGTAACAAAGAGCTCTCAAACCAAAACAGTTGCTTTTGAGTGATGTTTTGAAGATGAGTGTGGGGGAGTCTCTGTTGAGGTTGGGCGGGTGAGGGCCGCTATAAAGAAATCTCTGTTCCCAAGGTCTTGTTTATGTTGTTCCACGAGGATTATAAACTTGTTAATGTCCATTAGGACGACTGATCTTGAAAGTCGTATCAGGCCATTTCAGCTCGGGTCAAAGTGTGAAAAGCTATTGCTGATATACGTATAATTTACCAGAGAAATAACTAAAACATTAAATATTCGATCTTCAATGTTCTAAAGATCACGTTCGAAGCTAAATGTCAACGCAAACACTGGTACTGATCCTGTTCTGGTGCAGTTTTAATAGTTTGTAGATCCCACTGAGAAACCTAAAGGCACCAGACAATTAGAAACATATTTTGGACGTTCCATCAGTGCCATTTGAGATGTCTGCAGACTTCATGTGCTTCTCATTAAATTTGGGGAGCTTGCAAACTCCCCAAATTTCTCACATGTTTTCCAAGAAATGCAGTCTTCATTATTGTAAACAAGTCTATAACTCTATAATGATGTGTATGTGCACCAGAGGAATACTCTGAAGTCAGACACAACAAGCACATCTTTAGGTTCTATGAAAATGAACTGATAACAAACAAAAATAAAAACAACAAAATGTATCTCTTCTTTTTGCTTCAATTCAAGAATCCAACTATCTTGAGCTTTATGACAAATTCAGGGCATTTTTTTTAAGCTTTTCCAATTATTGTACAAAATGTTCCATCACTGAGGAAACATAAATAATGTTTCTGCCTGAATTTACTGAAACGACTTTCAATCAATGTGTGTCCATAGATTTTAAAGTGAAATTAAGAAATAAACTAAATAAGCAAATCTGTAGTTGGTAAATTTAGGTTTGTTATTGAAGCTGTTTTTGTCTCTTGTACTTTTTGGCACATTTATTTTTGCATGAACTTTTATGCACATGTATTCAAATGTGGTTTTACTGCAAATGGCAAATAAACTGAATCTGAATATGAGGATTGACCAATCAGAAGCCTTCACGGGGGAAACTGCAGCTTAGCAACCATGTTAGCAACAAGTCTGCCCTGCAAAGCTAACCCCATCAGAACAAGGACATTAGCTCCAGCTAGCTTATGTTCAAATCGGCTTCTTCCGCATTTGGTATACACCATGGCATGGGTGTCAAAGTCAAGGCCCGGGGGCCAGATCCGGCCCACAAGACAAATTTTTTGTGGCCTCTAAAACTATTTTTTATTATCATTAACTAGCAGCAGTGATGTAATGGGTGACCAAGGCAGGTTGCTCAGAAAAACAACCAAATGTGATGTATTCTAAAATTTTAACCCAATAACACATCATTAGAATTTAAATAGTTCAATATAAAACTTTAACTTTATAGTTGATCCAGTTTTGGTTCAATCGAAACAAGAAACGCATTTTGTTTTCAGAAAAATAAACCAGAAAAAAAACATATTAAAATACCTTCATAATGTAAAAAACTATTATACGAAAATCTCTTCTATTGTTTCGGCCCCCGACATTTCCTAGTTTTTTTAATCGGCTCCTGACCAAGATAAGTTTGACACCCCTGCACTATGGTGATGTCACACTCGGCCAGACCACTCTTGATTTACAGTCTGGGTGTTTCTCAGTGCGAGGAGCCACTCTTTGGAGATTAATGGTCGAATGGTTAAAAACATGTTAAACAATGTTAAAATGTGAAGCATTAAAAAAAATGATATAATAAAAAGTGTTGACAAAGTAAGTGGAGGAAACAGAGTGACTTTGAACTTTTGGTTTCAAGTCGACTTGTATTGAATGGAAGAGGGGGAATTGGAATTTCTAAAAGGGGTTTGCTTCGTCCAACCTATTTTCAAAACTGTCAGCTCTCTGGGTTTTGTTTTGGTTCTCTGAAATTGTGTTGTTTTTGATTGATTGAATCTCTACAACTCAAGATAAAATGTGAAAATGGTGATGCGTAAAGGTGCTTTCACACCGCCGACGCTGGAACGCTGACGCCTCGCACACCAGACGCACATTCTCTAGTTTTTAGACGCAGGGGTCTTCAGACCAGAACTCCTGGCCTGCGGTGGCGCTCGCCAGAAGTGGCGGAAGTAGCGGGCGGACTTTGATGCTAACGGAGTTAAGCTAGCGGCTTTTTTGTGTAAAGTTCTTCTCCAATAATGCAGCTCTGCAGCGTCTCCGTGTCCAGAGACCTTCCAGAGACTTTATATAACAGTAGTATGTATCCACGGAGGTGCACCATACATTTATTTTATTATTAAACGGTACTCCCGCATCGGCGAAAATGCTCAAAGCAGTTGCATAAAGTCACGGGAACATGAAAACGCATATGTTCACAAGCACTATGTCCACCATTGTCAACCCTGGTTTTAGTCCTGGTGTAGCTCCTGTTTTGGCTGCTCGCCAGACCGCTTCTGTCCCCGTGACCACTTTGCGGCTCTCTGATTGGTCGCTGCACGAGCGTCCCGAGGAGAAGCTCAGCAATATTTATCTCCTGCGTGCATCGATTTTCCGCTCATGCGCCTCTGCCGCGCCTTTACCGTGCGTGCATCCCGAGACGCACATGCAGTGACGCTCGAATGCGCGTCACCATTGACTTTGCATTTAAAGTCGACGCAGGATCCACTGTGAAAGCACCTTTAAACATTAAATTGGCCTTTTCTGTTCAGCCCTTTTAGGTTTTAGAAAATAATCCGATAACTCAGGTGCACCCATTTGCAAGGGGGGTTAAACACATCCCATTGGTTCGTTGAGGATGAACGAATCCCATTGGTTTATTTTTACCGGTCTGCTTCAAAATATTTGTTATTAATCTTTTGGAGACTATAGGCATCTGGTCGATTCCATTACAATTTGAAAACACATTTAGGGGTTTAGGGACGTTTTCCCACAATGTAAAAAAAAAATCACTGCCTGCGTCTTTAAAGCAGGAGTACTGAACTTTGAAATCATATAAAAATAACGTCCAGGTAACTGCTGTTTCCTTGTTCTGAAAACAGTTGGGTCTTATAAGGTTTTCCCATGCATATATCTGTGTGTAAAAGATTTTCCAATCAGAAGAAGGCAACAGGTTGTTGTCTGATTTCTTAACACAATGTTACTTAAAAAGGACACTTTTTGTTGTCCAACTTGTACTCATGAAGCTGAAAAAGTTAGGTACTTCAGCTTTAAACTATACCCACGCTACTGAAATGTATTAACTACAACATCATTATGTTTCACTTTTTTAATTTTTATTTTCTTGTCACGTGAAAAAAAAAAAGAAAAAAAGTTAAGCATAATGATTTTATTAGTCTGGCGTTATATTGTGTTTCGAGACCGATAGCATGGAACATGGCTTGGAATCTTTGAATTATTTTTATTCAACGACCACAGCATCAGACCAAACAAGGTCTTGACCCAACAACCACTAATAAATAATGTGTTTGTTAAGTGACCCAGCAGTCAGGAGGCATTTCTAAAACAGGAGGATATCAAAGAAGGGGCTTGTTGGGCCAAAACATGTTGTTTGCTGGTCTCAGTAAATATTCTGCACGTCTGGTAAATGTATCAGTGCATTCAGAACGTTTTATTTTTTCAAAATCTAGCCAATGGTTCTGTTTTCCACTGAACCAACGGACTGCTGTCAGTTGAGCTTCCTCCCCATAAACGTGGAGAAGACCCAGGAGCCCACGTCCTCCAAACCACAAGTCTACTCAGGACCAGGCTCAGCCCAATCTGAACTTCTGAAAATCATATTCTAGAACAGTGTTCTCCGACCTGTAGCTCGCCAACCCCTCTCAGGTAGCTCCCCAAAAGATTCAGGAATTTTACATATGATCCTAAGTAAGTAAGTAAGTAAGTAATCTTTATTTATATACCATTATAAATGATAATATTATTGCATAAGTTATTGCAAATCTAATGTGGTTATACATTTACTCATACATTTTAGTTGAGTGATGTTCACAATTAGCTGCAAGTATTAAAACATAGTTTTGTGACTACAGTTTTTATACAATTTGAAAAAAGAGCTGTCTGCCATTTCTGTTGCGCAACAGTTGCTCTCCAATCGAAAAGTGTTGGAGACCCCTATTCTAGAACATGTAACAGCAGTATAGAACACATGCAGCCTCATGTAGCTTCTGTCCCAGGACAAACCAGAGCTCATACCTCATGTTCAGCTCCATGATGATGTTCCAGATGTGAGGTGTGTGTCGTCTGGAGTCTCTCAGTCTCCTCTGCCATTTTATAGGACTCAGCCTCACACATTGTCCCGCCTCTGCGTGGGCCTGCCCTGCTGCTGGCCCTCTCCGGCTCAAACAACCACAGCAGCTCTCTTTGTTAACAGTTATGGCGTCAGGTTTAATTTATTTATTAATCTCTCAAATACTCAGAGAGAACAGATAAAACACAGAGAAGACTTTTTACATGTTCATCCACAGGTCGACACACACAAGAAATGAAACAGGGGGTTGTCAAATATAATTCATACTTTTCTTTTCAATGTAGTTACAACGATTAATTTTGGAGTTGTAGTTAATAATGTTTCTTTGGATTTAATTAAGTTCAAACATTTTTATTGCTATGTGATCAGAACTATTTTGAATGTATTGAACATCTTTAATTAAATCCAAAGCGCCTTTTCCACACTGCTTCTGAGCATACGCAGAGGTTCACGCATGCGCCGTCTCCACAGTCCAGCATCCACCCTACGCACTTGCATGCACCCATCATCGGGAATGCGCAAATGAGGTGCACGAGGGTGGAGGTGCGAGGGAGGTCTTTGGCCCCGCCCCCTTTGCGCCCCTGATCCACACTTCACCGTAGCCTGCATCTAAGCGGACTCTGGCGAAGGATATTGCCCATAATTGTTTGCGGTACACACCAAAACGTCAGGAAAATGCATTTAAATGTAAGTTTTGAAATATTTATGTGTGTAAATAAGTTTTGCTGTGTTACTTGGAAAGAAGGACAAATGTCTGATGAAGAAATACGGATATTGTATTTTAACAATTTATTAACTTTTTAAAGCAAGCATTCATATAACACTCAATTTAAACTTTACACTTAGTACAATAAAGTTAGGATGTATAAAAATTGACCAGATAACAGTCAGTTATCCACATTTGAAATTTCCCCACTGTGGGACGAATAAAGGAATTCTTATCTTAACTTAAAATTATACAGCTATCTCAAATTACAAATGTTGTATATTTTAAATATACACTAAACAGATGTGACAATATTTGACAATTTGAACTCTAATTTTAATCATAGCCAAAAAAGACCTGTGCCCTCAGGGATTAAGTCACAAGGACACAGGATAAGCAGACAGGAATCATAAAAAGATATCGCCTTTGAACAAGGCGAATTATTAACGTTAGATAATAAACATTATCTGCTGACGAGAGCAAAGTCCCTCACAATCAGGCGGAAAGGGAATTCACCAACAGCATTTTGACGCCTCCCAGTGGACAAGGGACGCCAGCACACCCGGCTGGAAAACCCTTGGGCGCATATGGATGACGTCATCGGAAGTCTCCTACATATGACCTCCCTGAAGGTCTTTGAGGACAGTCGACACAGGGCCAGAGAGGGACATGGATAGTTTTAGGAGCTCTCTTGTTGAATGTATCTGATTGTAACAATAAATTAAATACAGATGTTAAACTTGGAAATATTTTGCCTTACTTCTGCATCAACTTCGAACACGTCCGTCAAAGGGAATTTTTGACAACACAAATAACCAATATACATTTATTCTAACGTGTGTGGAGCAACTAATTTCGTTTCCCACAGGGTCAGACAATATTACCTTTAATTTTTATAAAGTTTAGGTCTGAAAATAACCATCTCTTGACGAGTCGATGACAAAACCTGCACTCAGTGTGCACTGTCCCAATTCCGCCTTTTTTGCACACTTGTAACCTGCGCACTCAAACCCTTGTGTGCACTTCAAACAAATGCACACTTCGTAGAGGTGTGTAGGGTGCAGTGTGGGTATTGGGACTGGGCGTCATGGGTAACGTCATCATCATGCAGGTTTGGGTAGCTAATTACTTCTTTATTATTATCTAAGTGGTACTATTATTGGTATTATTAACTAGGTGGTACATTGGGATGATATAAAGGGTATTTCATTCGGAAATACTGTCCGTAAATGTATGGGTTTTGTCGCAGTTGATAGTTAGCTTAAAGTGATTGTCTGGAGTTTGTCAGAAAGAGAGACAGAGAGGTACATGATTTGAAAAAAACGACGCAAGCTCCCTCCCCCTTCCTTTCTGATTGGTCTACACCTATGTTTCCGTAACACTTTCAAATGTTAATCAGAGAACGAACACATTATACATATACATTATTAATACACATGCACGGTTTTCAGAATTATTTGTTAACGTTTTAATAACGGGTTTAACGCGATCGCGGCAAACCCGGAAGTGCTATTATCATGAATTGCACATTATACGACACATCTGCAGAGGAGCTGATTATGGATATAGGTTCAGTATTTACATAAGTACCTCAGCGCGGATGTTCAGAATTCTTTGTGCAGTTTTCATGTAGTTCCAGAGCCTAATAGAGGCTTGATTCGGAGGCTCCGCAAAAACAAACAACTGAGCATGCGCGCAGCTGCGAGCATCAGAGCGATGATTGACAGCCCTTGTCATCACTTGATTGGTTAACCTCGACGGCATCGTGGATTCTGAACTATAGAAGGGAAGGCGGAACTTGCCCGCAATATTAGAATTAATAAAATGTATTATTTTATATCAGCATTTAAGGCCAGGAGGTCAATTTAACACATTTCCTAAAATTTGTAATTCATTTAGCGTTACAGACTATCACTTTAAATCCTTTTTATGTTGTTCCCACTGAACATATTGTACTTTGTGGCAGTATATGGCAATCTGTATTTTAGTGAAACATTAGTTTGACTATTAGACGTTATTGTACTTTCCCCAACCGCGTGTAAAATAGCATTCGAAAGCTATAAAGCACACTATTTCCCCCCCCACTTATGTTTTCACGAGTTTAACAGCAAACAAGTAATCGGGTCAAACACGCAATGTTTTCAAAGTGCGGTACTGATGCATCGGTGCAAAATGCAGACAAACTGTATTTTAATTTAAGTCAACGCTGTTACCACGGGCTGTTTTTATCATTTTGTTTTTTTGCGCTGCATGCCTGAAAGAGAGTGTGAATGGAGAAAAACATGGACATGGATCCGCGAGGTCTGCAGCCGACCAGCAGCGGCGGATACACTCTGAAAATGTATCTGCAAGGTACCAAATACTAAAACGTGAATGCATGCTTAAAGGACTGATGGTCTTCCTGAATGAGAATCCTCCAAACCTCATCAAAGAGTATCTGGTAAGCTAAACTGAAATCAGTTAACGGTTAATTGTTTTTAACCATATACAGGTGTATACAGATGTAAACATGCCAAGATCTTTTATGACTCAATCAGCTGTAATCGCTACGACCAACAATGTATCTAGTGTGTATGGATATAGTCTTGAGTGGCATCACTTTGGCTGCGTCTGGTGTGTCTTGGTCAAAATGTGTGAAAAAAATCATATTAATTGATTTTTTTGATCTAAACAATTCATCAATTAGTTGGGCAATTATTATATCAATCTATTATTAAAATAATTGTTGTTTGGTAAGATGAAAGGATATATATGTGTTCCTAACTTTTTTCCCTTCATAAATAAGTATTTGATTGTCCCAACAGTCTTGTAAAAGGAACATGTTGTCTTTTGCACACTACTTGTTTGTGGTGTACAGTATTTTAAAGCCAACCAATACATCTTATTGCCGTTCACAATCACAGCTGTTGATGTGTAATAGATTTAAAATATATTCATGTCCTTTCAGGATGTCTATGTCATGAAGAATGAGGAACTTGAGCAGATTGACATGGGTGTTGATGAAGTCACCTGTGAAGGCGCACAACCTGGTGACTCCCTTGAAGATGAAGTGATTGACAGATGCGCTGTGCTGCAGGGTCTTGGAGTTGTGGTGTGATGTACACTTGGGTTTGGGTTCACTGCCTCAATCTGAGTTATCCAAGATCACTCCGCTACACATTTGAGTGAATCCAAAAAGTGCTTTTGGGACTGGATGATAAAAAACTTTCAAACAAAATACAAGTGCAAGTGCTGAGTCTTTATAAACTACAGTTTGTTGGTTTTTGTTTAATGCACTCTGAATAGTATTTTCACGATCTGCTGTTTGCAGTTACTTGGTTTTGTTTGAGATAAAGGACTATTTACAATTGGGCACAAAGTCGCCCAGTTTTTGTTTAATCTAACTCTTGTTCCAAAGTTAGTGAATGCACTATTTTTCAAGGTTTTGTTCATGTAATATGCAGTGATTTTGTTTTAAATGTGACACTTTTGAAGGTTCTAAATATTTGGGATAACAAACTACCTTAATGCATTGTTATGTTTATAATTGATTCTTTGTAAAAAAATACACCGAATCTGCTGTGGTAGATCTGCAGCGTCTCTGCAGACCAGATCACTTGTTTGTTCTGCAAAGGTTCTGCAAATGTTGAGCAGTAGCAACATTGTATGTTGTATGAACTCTGCAGATCAACAGCAGATCGACAAATGTATAAAATGTTATGTCCTGCACTTGATGTAATCCATTTGTTAGAAAATATGTTTTTGATTTTTAATGCAACTGCCATTATGTACCAACACAATTGTGTATTTGTACTGCATATGCTCAGTCACAGTAGATTTTTCCATTGTAGAGCAAGGTTATTGAGTGTTTAATTGTTAGTTTATGTGTAAAAGTAGAGAAAGGTTCTTCAGATTTCTATTGTCTAGTTAGAGGTTGGATCTTTTCATCTCACATCCTAGAGCTCGGATCTACAAGAGGAGATCCTCGAGGATGTGAGATGAAAGATCCAACCTCTAACAATTGTATCTACATTTTACACTACACTAGTTTTGATTACATGTTAATAATAAAATGGATTAAAAAACAAAAAAATAGACAATGGTGTTAATTAAATCATAATTAATAGTATTTATTAAATCATGACTAATGTTGTAAATTAAATCCTAACTAACATTGTTAATAAATCATAGCTAAGGGTGTTAATTTAATCTTAACTAATAGTGTTAATTAAATCCAAAGTACAATGCAAGTGATGCACTTATGTCCAAATTAATAA